ATCATTGTTCTGCTTTCCATAGTGATTCTTTTTTTTCCCTACATGCTACAATTTTATTGTTGCCTTCAAAGATACTTTGCTTCTAGATCAAAGACAAATGCTGCTGTGTTTGTGGTCATCTTGTGGTCCATTAAATGTCTTGAGTATTTTTCCTGTTTTGCTAATCCATACCTCTTTATTAAATTGGGACACAATATCTGCACATATTTATAGGATACAGTATGAGAATTCAGTACATGTACATGATGTGTAATAATCAAATCAGGGTAACAAGCATTTACCTCTCCTCAAACATTAATCATTTCCATGTGTCAGGAACTTTTGTATTATTCTGTTATCTTGTAACGAATTGTAACAAATAGCTACCCTACAGATTATAACATAGCTACTCTACTATGCTACAGAAAATCAGAACTAATTTCTCCTAACTGTATTTTGGTGTTCCTTATTTTACTACTTTCCATGCCCACTCCCCTGCCCTTCTCAATATCTAGTGACCACTGTTCTACTCTGTTCTTCAATGAGATAAATTTTCACCATAAATTTTCTCTGTAATTTTAATAGCTTCTTCTGTGTGAACACTAACCCACCTGCTGATTTATGTCTTTTGGCAAATATTTCACTATATTCTATTTTAAGTTTCTACCACTATCATTTGCCAAGTCTCTTAAAAATATATTTTTTAAAATCTGTATTTAAAGCCTTACATCCCCTCTTCTCTCTTAGAAACCTCTACCTGTTATTGTATCTCTCTTTCCTCTGTAGTTTTCAACTTCTCCCTTGAAAAACTCCTTCCTATTGACATTTAAACATGCTCAAATCTCTCCTGTTATCTATTTTTTAAAAGACCCTCTTCCAGCTCTTGTCTCCATTACAGTCAGACATCTTGAAAGTGCCTTCGTGTAGCTCAGGTCACTGCCCAGCTCCCTTCCATTTGGTTTTACTATCACATCCTCAGTAACCAATACAAGATGTGATCTAGGATCTGCACTCACTAAAGATCTGTTAAATGCATAGCTGAATGATTGCATTTCTACCTAGCAACCAAGTCTATTATCAGGTCTCTGGTGATGTTCTTGTATAAGAACTGGTGTATAAGAACTGGTTTTGGGGATTTATTTATTTATTTAGCTACATTTGTAGTTGATGATTTTCATCATGGATTACAAAGCCAAGTACAAATTTTTCTTTTCTTTAGCAAATGTTTTATTCTGTTTGGAATGACATGTTCCACTGATCCATTAACTGCTGTTTTCTCTTTTAGTTCTTTTCATAGTGCTTCTGCATGTCATATTTTATTTTGATTTCCTTAACACATTTTGAGATAGAACAAGAAGGTACTCATGATTTAGAGATTAAGTTCTTGGAAGCCAGACAAACTATTTTCCTAAATCATATACAAAGCTAATCATAAACCTGGTATTGGCTGGCTCCGTAACCCTGAGCAAATTCTTAACCACTTCTATCATTAATTTCCTCATGTGTTTAAATGGGGATAAAACTATCTCCCTCTTTAGGTGGTTTCCAGAATTAAGGATTCTCAACTTCTTGCCTTGAGGGTTTTAAAATTTTCTATTACATGCTGATTATAAAATGGATGCAAGAGCAAAATGTAGAAAATTAAGAGAGTAGTAATTGGAATATAAACCTATGCTGTGTGCTTGACTTGCTTCATTTTTGTTGGGGATTGTTGGGGATTAAACCTAGGGCCTTGAGCRTACCACTGAGTGATACCCACCAACCCCACAAGTTTTTAAATTYATGTTTAAACTTATATAAGAATCTTTGGACACAATTCACCTGGATTCCACTGACATGATTAGGTGGTAGCAGTGAAGAATCAGTAATGAGCTGGATGAGCTGAGCAAATGAGGCAGTAGGGGTTGTTTGCTGCTGGTATTAGCTAAAAGTCTTAGCTGAACAACTTCAAATTTGTGTTTTGGCCTAGAAATGAAGTAGTAGTTCTGTCTCCAAACTCAACACACCTCTGTGTTCCAGTGCTTTTGTGAGTGACATTTTAAGGGATCCCTGCAGGAGACATAACTAATGAGAACATATGAAAGGATTCTTGTTGTCAAGTGTTCTTTAGTGTCTTCTGAAAGGAGAGTGAGTGGGAGGGTGAGAGATTAACTGTTGGAGTGTTAGACAAGTGATTTGAATTACCAAGAATTTCCTTCTTCCCATCATTAAAATAATGTTATTTTGAATTCAGTAAAGTAAAACCTTGTTCCTCTAAGCAAGCTTTTCCATTCTGAATGCTTACTTAGTTAGAGAATTAGTTTAAATTTGATTTTGATGTGGGGACTTTTCGACCCACATCAGGTAAGGTCTGGTTTTTCTGCCACCTCATTCCAACATCCTGTTCTGGTAACCATGCTGCGTTTCCATCCCTTTTCCTTACTATGCTCTGAGCTGGTTGCTTTCTATAGGTTTCCAACTCTGATCAGGCTCCCTTTCTTCTTTCTGGGTCATTTAGGACAACTTTTAGGTTATTTAATTTATATAGACTACTATCATTAACACCAAATGAAACTCTTCTGAAGCAAGTGTGTCCCTAAGGGCCATGCATGAAGCAGTGAACTGCGGTGGGTAAAAGTGAGGTTTCTGAAACCCAATGGCTGGCTCTATAACCCTGGGCAAATTCTTAACCACTTCTGGCATTAATTTCCTCATGTGTGTAGATGGGGATAAAAATATCTCCCTCTGTAGGTGGTTTCCAGAATTGAGTTAATTAAGATAAAGCACTTAGTGCCGTGCTTAACACATGATGAGGGCTCAGTAAACTTAGTTGTAATATTCTTACTGTTATTATTATTGAAAGGGAATGGGATATAGTTAGAAATTTTTGTGTGACCTTGGGAAACTTCCCACTTGAACCTCATTTTTTTTTTTTCCATCTGTGCTGTGAAGGTACTCAAGAGGGTATTACAGCCTGGTGGAAAGGTGATAGACTCTATTCAGGCTGATTATGTTAATGTATATTTCAAATGTATCTGAATGCCATTCTTTTTTTAGCTCCACCTCCTGCAACAAGTCCCTCTTGATGCTTTCTCATCACTCGGGCCTTTTTATGCTTATCAAAATAACCAGGTGTCATATTCCTTTAGGTTCTTCTGGATGATAGCTCACTTAGTAAGAAATTTCATGCAAGAATGTTCTAAATAACCAATAGTGATAGGTTTGGTATAGTGGTTCAATTTGTTACTCGTTAGATAGTATTTTTAAAAACCAGAAGAAGCTTTATGTGAAATTGTTTTTTTAACCTGAGTTTCTCGAGTTTTCTTTCTACCAAAGCTTGGGAGATGTAAGGAACATGTTAGTCTAGCTCTAATCACAAAATGTCTTTGGTTTATCATATTTAATCTCGATAGTCATTTATTTTATATTAATATTTTAAATTACATATCAATTCTTTCTTAACTCTCTGCCTGCTTAAGCTTCCAATATAACTGATGTTTCAAGGATGTATGCCTTGTGTTTCTGGTGGATTTTAGTATACCTTCTAATCTAGTTTACAGCAGCAAGCTATCTAAAGGAGTGGTTCTGAAGATGGGACTTATTGATACCTGAACACATGTATGAGGGAGACATTTTTGACTGTGAAGGTGACTCGTATAACATTGAAGAGAGTTTTCAATTGGTATGAGTTGAAAACTTGGTACAGTCACCACTAACCAGCACCTTTGGAAACTCTTTCCCCTTAGGACATGTATATAAAGTTCTGAACTATCTCCAAGTTACTATAATTTAACTTTCCTACCACTGAATATGGTAGGAAATCTGGATTTGTGGAAACCTGCTTTCTTTCTTGTATGGGCAGGGGCTTTCTCAGATTGTTTTCTGATCTTTGCTTATATTTGCAAGGTGGCATGGTAAAAGGACAACTAGGAATCTGTTAGCAATGTGGTCTACAGCAAGTTTTTAAAAGTTTTATGATTATGATTTCAAATGGGTTAAGATTTGTGGTTATATTCCCCACCCCAACCAGTTCTTTCCTCTCTATATATGCTTGTTGCATTGTTCATTTGGCATGATCATTTACTTGGTCACTGTATTTTTAATGCAACTGTAATCTTCATACCCCATGGGTGTTTTACTCACAACTTTGTGCCAGTTACCTTCTACACTTCTTGGCACACAGCATTCATTCATTAATTTATTCCAGAAACATCTAATTAATGCCTACTAAGTGGTAGGTACTTTTATAGACATTGGTGAAATTAGCAGGAATATGGTAAAAACAAGATCCCTAATCTCACAGAATTTAAATTTGTGCCTGTGGCATTTGGGATTAAACCCTGGGCCTCATGCATGCTAGGCAAGCCCTCTACCACTAAAGCTGCACCCCCTACACTACCTGGAGTTTAGATTATTTTTTTATAATTTTATTTTTTAGTTGTAGTTGGACACAATACCTTTATTTTATTTATTTATTTTTTATGTGGTGCTGAGGATCAAACCCAGGGCCTTGCACGTCCTAGAAGAGCATTCTACCACGGAGCCACAATCCCAGCCCTGGAGTTTAGATTCTTAATGCAGTCTTGTTCAATAGAATTTCCTAAGATGTGGAAATGTTCTATATTGTCTTTTGCAAGATGATAGCAATTAGCCATATGTGATCACTGAATACTTGCAGAGGCTGGTGTGAATAAAGGACTGAATTTTTAACTTTTTAAAACTTTAGTTTACTTAAATTGCTAATGTTCAGTGGTTATCATATAGGATAATACCATCCTAAAGGAAGGGGATAGAGAAAGATAAAGCAGATAAATAAACAAAATAATTTTATGTAGTGATTTTAGTTGAAGAGTGAGAAAACACACTAATAAATGTAAAACAAATTATGAAGTTATGAATTTTTAAAACTTTGCTATTTGTTGCTTAGGTTTAGGGACCCTTATTGGTGATCTAGTGATTTACTTTTGGAAAATGAACCCCAAATCTCATAATAAACCTGCATATTTCTATCATTTTATTAACTGCACAAATTTATTTTCTAGCCCTGAATCGTCATCCTCAGTTCCTGTTGGTGATACCTCTACATTGGGAGGTATGCTTTGGTGCCATTATTCACTTTTCTGTATGGTATGGTTTAAGATAATCTTAAAAGCAAGTGTTGTTTTTCAGATCAATTTTTTAAAATATCAAGTTTTCTCTATGTATTGTTCAAGAGTCTCTAGAAAACATAATTTCTCCCACTTATTTTATGGCATTATGTTGTAGGTACTCAATACAAATCAGAATACAGCTTTAAAAAATGTATGAACTGATGAATTATTTGAAGGCAAGTACTTGGTAACCACTACTTATATCAAAGGTAGAAGAACCTGTCTAGTGCCACTTTTTGTCATTTGTTCTACAGTTTCCAAGAGTAGGGATTTTTCTGACTGCATTCTGTAACATGTTCCTTTGACCTCTGTATTTCTTCTAAATGGGTAGTTGTTTCCTATATTTATTTATTTATTTTAGTTACAAAAGGCAAACTTCTTTGTATCAGAAATTTCAAACATACAAAAATAGAATACTATGATGTGGTTTAGTTTCAGTGTTTGTTAAATTATGGCAGTCTCCAACCTTCACCAACTTCCCCTTTCTAGTATAGTTAGTTTGTTCAGTATCTGTTCAGTATCTCCTTAAGGTAGAAACTTTGAATTTCCAACATCTAGCATAGAGCCTGGATTAGAGTAGGGGGTTCAAACAATGCTTGTTGGCTGAGTGATAATCATTTCTTATTCTGGGAGGACTCTATACAAATGTGCCTGAAGATTAAAGTAGACTAAATCTCCAGTATGAAAAAGCAAAGGACTTGCAAGAATGGTTTCTGAAGTCAGTTCCTTATTTCCTGGATACCAATTCTGGGACTAAACTCATGTGTTTGGTTTTTTGCTTAGGTACTGCTCTCAATGTTCCATATCCAGGAGTGGATTCCTATGAAGGTGCCTCAGAGAGCAGCTTGGAGTCCTCAGAGGAGAGTGTGAGTCTTGCTCTGTTTTGTTACTTAGTTTCTATGCATGCAGGAAGGAAGTTTAGACAAGAGTTAAGAGAGAGTTTATATTTCATTGCTCTAACTACCAGGACTTCATGTGGTACCTGCTATGAAAATATCATGAATTTTAATACCAATACATTAAAAAAGTCTAATATTGCTTGGAGAACCAAGTAACTCATGGGAGAGTTTGGGTGAGAAAGGGTTTCAAATTGCAAATGAAATGACATGAGGCCCGGGAACTCTCATCATGACAAAATTAATCCTTAATAGATCATATCTTAGTGTTCTCCTCTTTAGAGGGAAAGAATATAGGTTTTAATAGTTTAAAATTCAAAAAGCACTGTGCTTAAAAATGTATAATTAGTATTAGTCTTTCCACTAAACAACATTAAGTCCTATAGCCAAGTATTAAAGAAGAATAAAAAATTTACACACTACCCAGGAAGATAGAAACAGTTTATTAGAAATACTGCTTAATTTTGAGGATCTGTATGTCCCAGATTATTTAATATAGAGCAAATTGGCTGAACATATTTCCCAGAGTGATGCAATTTAGTTACCTTGCCTGTCCCTTCTCAATATGAACATATTAATTTATAGGAAATCAGACTGAGTCATCCTGCTTTGGCTCTCTATCTTACCTGTCACCAAACAAATCTGATAGTAACTTGGGATCCCTAGAGTGGATGCCCAAATCAACACTATCCCCCAAAGTACAATTATGTCCAAAGTAGATGATGCTGGAAAATACTGGCATTCAATAAAGATTAGTGAATGAATTGATAAAAAGTGAGAGTGTAGTTTCAAAACTGAGGTAGAATAGGAAGATTTAGGTCTGGAAACAGTTATAAAATGAGACAGAATTAACTATAATAGAAATGGAGGAACTATATGGAGTCCACTGGAAGATTAATATCCAAAAATGGAGAGTATAATTTGAGCCAATTAACAAAACCAACAGGAAAACAAAACAGTACAGCTACCCTAACAAGAATTAGACTCTCTGCACCTCTAGTTCAAAATAAACCCCAAGGTATGTCCCTATTTACTATCCCAATGCATGTTCCTATTTACTATCTTAGAAATAATATACTATGTTTCTGTTTTGTTGATAGCTACCCTATAAATTATAATATGTATTTAACTTTACAGGATTTAAGGTTTTAAAAGTCTTTGTTTTTATATTGAGCCATATGAAAACATTAGAACTTTGTAACTTAAATGATCTCCCTGCTGACTTACATGATAATTTTCAGTAGTTTTGTTCTCTTTCTCTCCCTCTATTTTTTTAATTCAACAAATTGAAAGTATTGTATTAGATTTGCACAGTTAAAGTTTGTTTTACATTTATAATTTTATTTCTTAAAATTGTGTTTCCTCTCTTCTGGGACAATTTTCTTCCTGAAATATATTCTTCTGACATTATTTCAGTGATTATCTGTTACTGATACAATTTCAGTTTTTGATCACCTGAAAATTTCTTTACTATTCTTTTACTCAAGAAAGATATTTTAAATATATATTCAATTCTGGCTTGAGGTTTTTGTTTTATCAATCTTTATTTCATTATCTTCTGGATTTTGCTGTTATTACTGAGAACTTAGCTGTTAAGTTCAGCTGTCACTCTCTTTTGGGTATCCCGATTGCTTTTTCTGTTGGTTTTTGAGATCAATCTATTCATTCATTTATGTGTGTGCATGTGTACTTTTCTATTTTGAATTCTGTAGTTTCATAAAAATGAGTATAGATGTGTGCAGGCATCTATGTTGAATATACAGTTCCATACCACAGCAATAAAATGCATGTCACAGAAAAGGAAGTAAAATGGATATTTTTGTTTTCTGGTGCACATACATATTATATTTATACCATACTATAGTCTATTAAGTGTGTAATAGTATTGTCTTAAAATAGTGTATGTACCTTAATTGAAAATGCTTTATTGTTAAAAAATGTTAGCAACCATCTGAACTTTGGTGAGTTGTAATCTTTTTGCCAGTGGAGGGTCTTGCTTTGATTTTCATGGTTACTGACTGATCAGAGTGTTGGTAGCTGGGGGGTTGGTGAGACTCCTTGATTCATGGGCTGCAGTATGTATATTGAGATGCCAGATGACAACAACATTAATCTCATTATACATCTCCACCAGAGTTCTTGGGTTACTGGGTATATTTTCAATGAGCAGTAATATTCTGAAAGGAATCTTTTATCTGAGTAGCAGACTAAAAAATGGGCTTAAAAAGTTGAGTAAACTATGTTGTAAACAGGTGTGCTGTCTCCCAGGGTTTGTTATACCATTATAGAACATAGGAAGAATAGATTTAATATAATTCTCAAAGATCTAAGATTTTTCAGAGTGGTAAGTAAACAGAGCTAGCTGCATTAGAGAACTAAAAAGAGAACCAGTCTGTCCTATAAAGTTTTGAAGCCAGACATTGACCAATCCTCTATAACCATGAATATTCCAGATGGCATCTTCTTCCAGTATAAGGCTATTCTATCTACACTGAAAATCTCTTGTTAAATGTGGCCACCTATCTCAATTATCTCAGCTAGATCTTCTAAATACTTGCTGTAGTTTCTATATACTTGCTGCTTCACTTCTTACTTTTATTTTTAAATTTTTATGTATGTAAATTTACATATAGTATAAGTACTTATTTATAATGTGATAAATTATGTACATACATACAATGTATAATGATTAAATTAAAATAATGAGCATTTCTGTTAGCTCAAACACTCATTTTAATGTGTTGGGAATCTTCAAACTCTTCTCATTATTTTGAAATATATTACAAAGTTTTATAGACTATATTTACCCTACTTTGTTGTAGAACATTAGAACTAATTTTTCCTCTCTAATTATATTTTTGTACCTGTTATCCAACCTCCTTTCTCCCCACCCTCTCCCCTATCTTGCCTATGGTGGCCACTATTCTACTCTCTGTTTGTATAAGATCAACATTTTTAGTTTACACAAATGAATGAGAACATGTGGTTTTTGCTTTCTGGGTATGGCTAATTTAATTCAATATAATTTATCCAATTCCATTGACTCTGCTGCAAATGACAAGATTTAATTCTTATTTATGGCTGGATAATATTCCACTATGATTCTAATCCACATTAAAAATCATTCATTCACTCTTGGACACCTTGGTTGATGTTATAACTTGGCCATTGTGCATAGTGTTGCAATAAACATGGACATGCAGGTGTCTTTTTGAGACAGTAATTTCATTTTCTTTGTATTGATACACATAGTGGGATGCTGGATCATCTAGTAATTTTACTTTCCCTTTTTTTGAAGAACTTCCATATTGTTTTTCATAATGGCTGTACTAATTTACACTGCTTCTGATAGCACATCATAATTCCTTTCCTCCACATCTTTGTCAGCATTTGTTATATTTTATCTTTTTAGTAATAGTTATTCTATCTGGGATCAGATGAAACCTCATTGTGATTTTAACTTGAATTTCCCTAATGATTAGCTATGTTGAACATTTTTTCACATATATGTTGGACATTTGTATGTTTCCATTTTAGAAATACATCTTAAGCTTCTTTGCCCATTTTAAAATAAGATTTTTTGTGTTTTTGGCTATTGCCTGAGTTCCTTATATATTCTGAATACTAATCCCTTGTCAGATGAATCCATTTTAAATATTTTCTCCCACTCTGTGGGTTGACTTTTCACTCTGTTGATTGTTTTCTTTGCTGCACAGAAGCTTTTTAATTTGATATAATCCCATTGTCTATTTTTGCTTTACTTGCATGTGCTTTTTGGGGTCTTATTAAAAAAATCTTTGCCTATACCAACGTCTTTAAGTGTTTTCTTCTAGTAGTTTCATTGTTTTAGTTCTTACATTTAGGTCTTTAATTATTTCAAACTATTTTTTATATGAAGAGAGAGAGAGAGACAGAGAGGTTTCTAGTTTCATTCTACTACCTATGGATATCCAATTTCCCAGCACTATTTATAGAAGAATCTGTCCTTTCCCCAGTGTATGTTCTTGGGACCTTTGACCAAAATCAATTGGTTTTATGTAAATAAATTAACTTCTTGGTCTCTCTTCCATTGGATTGTATTATTTTTATGCTTGTAGCATACTATTTTTAAAAAATATATTTTGAAGTCAGATACTATGATACGCCTTCAGCTTTGTTCTTTTTGCTCCACATTGCCTTGGCTATTTGGGGTCTTTTGTGGTTCCTCATGAATTTTATGATTGTCTTTCTATTTCTGTGAACAGTTTCATTGGCATTTTGATGGTTATTGCATTAATCTGAGATTATTTTGAGTAGTAAGGACATTTTAATAATATAAATTCTTCCAATCAATGAACACAGAATGTCTTTCTAATTTCCTTCTTCAGTATGACCTTTGACCAAAATCAATTGGTTTTATGTAAATAAATTAACTTCTTTTTCTTCCACATACTTGTTAAATTTAACCCTAGATATTATATTTTGATAGATATTGTGAATGAGATTGCTTCTTTCATTTATTTTTCAACAAGTTTATTGTTAGTATGTGAAAATACTACTTTTTTGTATGTTGATTTTGTATACTGCAGTTTTATTGAATTGAGTTCTTGCAATAATTGGGGTGGAGTCTTTAGTTTTTCTATCTATACAATCATGTCATCTGTAAACAGGGATAATTTGACTTCCTCTTTTCCAATTTAGATGCCTTTTATTTCTTTTTCTTGTCTAATTACTGTAGCTAAGGCTTCCAATACAATGTTGAATAAGAGTGAAGCTTGTACTTTTATGTTATGGAAATTGCTTCTTTCCTTAAACCTCATGAACCAACTTCTGCTAGCTTCAAATTTTTCTTCTAAGGCTTCCTTATCTCTGTCAATCAGCCTTCATAGAATTGAAGAAGTTAGAGCCGTGCTGTGGATTAAGTTTTGGTTTAAGTGAATGTTGTGGCTAGTTTGTTCTTCGATCAAGATCACTAAAATTTTCTCTACATCAGCAACAAGGCTGTTTTGCTTTTTTATCATTTGTGCATTTACTGAAGTAGCATCTTAAGATTTCCTTCAGGAATTTTTCTACCGTTCACAACTTGGCTAAATCTTTGGTACAAGAGACTTACTGTTGAGTTCATCTTGGCTTTTGACATGCCTTCCTCACTAACCTTAATAATTTCTAGCTTTTGATTTAAAGCAAGAGATATGCAACTATTCCTTTACCTGGGATGTTTTAACCTGGCTTAACTTCAATATTTTTTGTGTTTCAAGGAATAGAAAGGTCTGAGGAAAGAGAGAAATATGGGGGAATGGCCAGGTAGTGGAGCAGTCAAAACATACACATTTGTTAATCAAGTTCACTGTGTTATGTAAATGGGGTTCATGGTGCCCCCAAATAATTACAATAAAAACATAGGGATCATTGACCATAGGTCACCATAACAGATATAATAATATTAAAGAGCTTGAAATATTGCATGACTTACCAAATCGTAACACAGAAGCATGAAGTGAGCACATGCTATAGTAGAAAAATTGTACCAATAGACTTGCTTAATGCAGATTGCCACAATCTTTCAATCCATAGCAAACRCAGTATCTGTTAAACACAATAAGGCAAAGTTCTATAAAATGAGATATGTCTGTATTTCTCTTTATTTAGTTTTCTTTGGATTTGTTGTACTGTCTTAATATGAGAGTTTATGCCTTACTTAAATTCTAAGAAATTCTAGCTGAATACCTCTTATGATTAGATGTCTGACTTCCTTGTTGTAGCCCTCCTATGTCTTCACTGCTATAACTTTCATTTMTTTGTTGAAATGAAACTCAAGGTTGCATTTAATTCTTTCATTTCACTAATTCTTTCTGCAATCTAGCCTAATATGTTGTTAAAACTGACCATTGATTTTTTAGAATTCTTGCAATATGTAGTAGTTTTGATTTGACTTTGCAGAGTGTACATGCCTTCCACTTTGTGTCTTATCCCTTCTTGGAATTTTAAACTAAAGACTATATAGTGAAGGAAAGAAGATGCTTCTTAGAAGCTGCTACCTTTAATATTATATTACCTGTCTGGATTTCTGTAAGCTATCTTTTTTGATTTCTTGGGTTTTTTTCTTCTCTTTTTTCCCTACTTTCTTGCAAACAAGTTACAAACATAAACAAACAAACAAAAAACCAAAACATCTTCTTCTTCAGCATTTTTAGGTGTTCTGTAGCAGTAAGGTCCAAGTATTTTCTTTTGTAATATTATTAGAATGGAAGTCTCTGCCCCAATTTAGTGTGAGATAAAGTTTAATGTAGAACATCCCGTACAACCAGAGAATTGAAATATTGTACTCTATTTGTGTACAATGAATTTAAATACATTCTGCTATCATGTATAACTAAGTAGAACAAATAAGAAAAAAGAAAAAAGTTTAATATAGAAAAATGCAAAGTCTTGTGCAAAATTCCATAAGACTGTTGATCTCAGTATGCATCAACAATATGATGCAGTTAATGAAAAAAATAAGGAAAGCTAGTTTTATTTTTTAATATTTATTTTTTAGTTATAGGTGGACACAGTATCTTTATTTTATATTTATATGGTGCTGAGGATTGAACCCAGTGCCTCACACATGCTAGGTGAGCGCTTTACCTCTGAGCCCCAGCCCCAGCCCCAAGCTAGTGTCATTTTAGGTTACATTAATAGAAACGCAGAATCTGCTATAAGTAAGGTGGTAGTCCTATCATAATTTAATTGATTAGATCTCACTTGTGGTGCCACAACTACAGAAAATAATAAGATCCTGAGTTTTGAAAGGCTCTCTGGGACTGCAGTTTGTATTTATATCCCAGGTTATAGAGCTTGGATCAACGGTGGAACTTACAAGAAGGTAATTAGGGTTAATGTTAAAAATTTCCCAACCATTAAAACTTCATGGAAGTATAAAAGTCTGCCTTTGAAAGGCAAACTTGTTTCTTATCATAGCCATTTAAACAGATGGTGAGCAGCCATTTGCCAGGGATATTGTACAAAGAATTTAAGCACCAGAAAGGATGATGAGATCTTCGAGGTTCTTTTCCATTTGAAGTTTCTAAGTTTTCTGATTATATGATCCACCAAGGAGGAAAAATGATACAATTTTTAAAAAGCACCTGAATTCTATTCCAGTTGTCTTGACTGGAGTTTTCAGGTTAGTCTTATCCTGGTTTTCTAATGTATCAAAATGGGAGGACTTAGATTAAATGGACTTGTGTGTATATTGCATGCAGCAGTTATTACTATAGTGTTTTAGTAGTGAGAGCAAAATTCCATCATTTCTACATTTATTAGAGTTCTTCTGTAAGAGATATTGTTACTTTACTATCTTTTTTGTTCATTCATTTATTTATGTCAGTGTAGATTCATGGATATTTATTTTATTCTTTGTATTATAATCCAATATTTACTTTATTGATCAATTTATTTCAGCTTTTCCCATGGGAACACCTGGATTAGGGAGAACTTAAAAAATTTGTTGAATATAGTTTTTGACTCCACAGACCAACTAACATTTAAGAAATAGATGATAACTAATTATAGTATGGTCAAATCTTTTTTTTACTCACTTTGATTGTTTCCTATGGAAAGATTTCTGCTTTCTCTTGAACTTATTAATGTGTGTTCAAATACGGGGCTGAGGTTATGGTTCAGAGATAGAGCGCTTGCCTAGAACATGCAAGGCCCTAGGTTCAATCCTCAGCACCACATAAAAAAAATAAATGAATAAAATAAAGGTATTTTAAAAAAGGAAATGTATGAATGCAGTCATTTTAATATTAGGTCTTATCATAAAGCCTACCCAGTGTATTCTAAAGTGGAATACTACATAAAGAATCATGATCAGAAGTTGGCTTTGATTTGGCACAATGTCTGGAACTTTGTAGGCAATTAATAAATATTTGTTAGCCAGGCATGGTTGTGCTTGCCTGTAATCCCAGTGGCTCCGGAGGCTGAGTCAGGAGGATTGCGAGTTCAAAGCCAACCTCAGCAAAAGCGAGGTACTAAGCAACTCAATGAGACCCTGTCTCTAAATAAAAATACAAAAAATTGAGCTGGGAATGTGGCTAGTGATCAAGTGCCCCTGAATTCTATCCCCAGTACCCAAAACAAGCAAACAAACAAATAAATATCTGTTAATTGAATGAATAAACACTGACATTTATTGCTCTTTTCTAAAAATCCAGATTAGCAATGAAATTGAGAATGTGACAGAAGAGCCCACAAAACCAGCAGCTGAACAGGTTGCGGAATTCACTATCCATCTTCTGGGAAAGCAGTACAAGGAAGAACTACAGGATCCCTCCAGCTCCTACCACCAACACCTTGCAGAAGAGTTTATTTCAGAGGTATGTAATTTGCTGTTTGTTTTTGTAAACAAGATAGTTTCTTAAGGATTAAGTTTTCCACATTCACAATAATATTTATGGATAGGTTTAGTTGTCAACCTGCTTTGTTCTGGGGTGGTGACTTAGATGTTTCTTCAGAATGCTTTATGAAAGGTACACAGATAAGTCCTTTACTAGAAACAGTATCCTTCCATCTGCTAACAAATAAATGCTCTTTCCAGCTTTTGCTACATAGTCAAGGAAGACAGATTTATGGCCTGGTTTTGACTTGACAATATTAGCAGAAATGAGCATCTCTGAGAAACTATGCGCACTGTAATACTTTTCTTGAGGAAACATTAAATTTGATTTCTTTGAATTTTATCTTTAGTATTCTTTTTTTCTTAGGCTGAAATTTTTTGAGTAGTTAACACATAAATAATCTATAGTACCAAAGTTTAGAGGCACAAAAAGGTATATAGTGAAAGAAATTTCCCTTCTTTGTTCCTTTGTAAGGTGTTTTTTTTTTTTTAAAGGTACTATTTAAAGAATGATGAATTAGAATCTCTCATAAATTTACTTTCTGGAAGAATTCTGTATAGGACTTGAACTCAAGATTCTTCCAGTTAAAAATGACACATACTTGGCCCCCTTCTGGAGTGTCTTGGTTCCTATGGAGTAAGGTATTGAATCCCACACACCCCTCTCTGTCTGAGGACAAGGTACATCATTCCTTCCTGTTTATCTCTTTTCCAGTCCCTCTTGATTGGGTTGTCCTTGGCTAAATTTGTCAATTCCATTACCTTGGATTAATTTCCTTCCCCAGGCACTATGTCCAGATGGGAATAAAAATATGCATCTCTCAGCCAAACAGCATCATTGTAGCCACCAGACATGGGGAGTGTAGGCCAGACAATCCATTTTCCTAGCTGTGCAGCCAAGTTGCAGGCTGTATGGTATGTGGAAGAAATGTCAGCCAGGCCGGTGGCCACCTGGCATCAGATAGTATCTTGGATTGGTGTCTGGTTCTTTTTGCCTTTGGATTAAGGAACTTTTAATAAGTCTTAGTGTTTGGGTAAATAATTACACAGAACGACTGCAGATTTAGAGAAAGTCTGGTATATTCTGAAAACACCTCCAGGAGAGAATGATAGCGGTAGTTAATGGAATGAGGTGATTTGAGGATGATGAAAGGCCTGGGCCCACCATGAAATACCTTTTCTCTGCCTCTCTCTCTCTACCACCATCCCCACCTTACCTAGAGTGAAATGTCAATCAATAGTTACTCCTGTGAAGAGCAGCAGAAGCAGGGGTTGTGTCTCTGAAGGATCTTGTCATAGTATTTCCTGAAAACTGAAAGGGCTCCTCCAAGTCTTTCCTTTCAGGGTATAGTCATGCTAATTTTTTTTCCTCAACTTGGCTTTGAAAACACACTAGGAGAAATAAAGCCTGTTTGGAGGAGATAAAGTTAATGTTGAGGAGCTATTACACATTTCCTTTTCTTTCCTTTCTTCTTCTTCTTCTTTTTTTTTTTTTTTTAAAGAGAAAGGTGAGAGGAAGAGGTGATATGATGAACTTGGGACAACACTAAGTATGATGTCAGAGTTTAAAAAGAGCGTGATGACTTTGGGAAGGTACCTTAAGGCAGTCACTGAACCCATGTAGTTCCCTAGCATGGTGCTTTTTATAGATGGATACAGTGCTTCTACAAGCTGCTTCCTTTTTATCTGTCCACAGCATCCATGTGGATAAGTACCTTCATTTAACAGACGAAGTTCAAGAGGCCCAACTTGTTCTTGGTTCTTTTAGCTTCTTTTGGAGTAGATTGTAAAATCAGGTCTCTTTCTACTTTTCAAAGGGTTTCTTCCTTTATATTGTATAGAGCCCCCTTTGTTTTAATTCAAGGGAGAAGTTGGGGTGAATTTCACAGTTTTTCCAGTTCTGATCCTAATTCTAGAGTATATTCACCATGAAGAAGAGAAAAAGGAAGATAAAAAGTTTAATTCAGTGAAAAATATATGGGCTTTAGTATTAGAGAGATTTGAGGTTAAATAAATAAACTCTGATTCAGTCACCAAATATGTGATTCTGGCCAAATTGATTGACATTTTAGTGTGTCAGTTTTCTCATCTATAAAATCAGGTTAATATATATATCTTGGAAGTGTTGCAAGAATCAGAAGTAATATTGCAAAGACTCAGTACTCAACTCAATAAATTGTGCCTATTATTAATATTGGTATTAATAAGGTGGAATGACTTATTGTCCTGGATTCCTGTGCAGTATTAACTGGATGTGAAGAATTAGAAGACCTTTACATGTTTAGACTTAAGAGATGGCATGGCCCAGGCCTTAGATGGGTTTTGTAATAATAATAATGTGTAATAGGACAGCGTTTTGAGGATTTCTTGTACATTCATTGTAATATTACAAAAGCTAATATGGTAGATTTCAGTATTAGTGTTATAAAGGAAGGCTTATACATGGCCAAGTCTACCAGCAAACACAGAGCTGGGCACAACTCTCAGACTTATGATTCCTAGTTCTACAAATTCCACCTCTGTCTCCATCCTGCAAGAATTTATTCTTTCTTCTAAAAAAATAAAACAAAGTAAGTTACTATAGACAAAAAGTTTCATGAGTTTAAATTCTTTATTTTTAAGGCATGATGGTCTTTAGTGAACCAAAATTTTAAAAATTTCCCCTTTTCTGATTATGTGAAAATTTGGTTAAAAGCAGATATCCAGAGATGGTCCAAAGTTTGTTAACTTATTTCCCCTGTTCTACTGATGGCCCCATAGTAACCTATATGTTTAGCCATCTTCTGAAATGTTATGGATAAAGTGTTCAGTTTTGTTAAAATATGTGTTTTTGTAGTTTTGCATAATCTGATCATCTTTAGATCTTAGTCTAGTCTAGCATTCCTTTTTACATCTCCAGCCACTAAGCTCACATGGAGTTAAATGGCTAGATTTTAAAGACTTAGTATGAAAACCAGCTCCTGTGGTGTGATGCTCATAAATTGATCTTTTGACCAGTTGGGTTATCTGGCTACTACTACTTAACTACCTCCTTGACAGCCAGTTGGCAAGGCCTCTGTCCTGTGGCTAACTCAGGGCTTGTATACTCCATTTAAATGCTGAACTGTGTTCATGGTTCTCTTGTGTTGTAGGAACAGGAAGCAGATGCCACCAGACACTTTCACACTTACAGAAAGCAGACACTTGACTCTTTGTCAATTTGTGTGCTGGGGCCAAATTTCTAATCCAAAACAATATTTTAAAATGCTTATATTATAGCTTCTTTTGAAATGAATGCTTTTTTTCACATTTTACCACATGTAGGAAAAATATCAGTGCATTGCCAATAAGAAGTGTTTTTTTATAATTTGGAAAAAAATAATATTAAAATACATTAAATCCTTAAAAGGCAAAATGAAAAAGAAAAAAACATGGCAGTTTTCTGATAAATGACGTTTTCTATCATTCTAACTATTGTTTTATATATAAAACAATATGTATAAGTTCCTAATAGTTGTAAACAGTATATTTTTTATTCTACTCTTATAAACCTTTTATATGTACTTTCCCATATTTCTCATAGTTATAATTTTTACTTTCAACAGATTGAAAATGCCTTTACTGGATTACCAGGCTACAAGGATATTCATGTTCTTGAATTTAGGTAAATGGATTTACTCTAAAACTTCATGTGGTTAGTAGTACTCTTTCTTCCAAATGGACTATCCTTTTTATTTATCACATAGACTTTACTAGGTAATGCTATAATTCAATGTTCTTATGGCAAATTAGTATTCATTTTTAATGCTAGATTTTCAAGAGAGGAAACCGAGTTAGAAATAAGTTAAAATAACATATTTAAGGAAACACGCTAGGCCTGTATTTGGACCAGGGTAAGACTTTAGGAATTTTGGTCTGCAGCTTATTGCTGACAAGTTATATAGCTCTTATTTGGCTCTGATGGGACCCTAGGACAGGGTTGGATATGATCTCAGCATCCTCCTAAAGATTATCAATTTTCTACTAAGATGACAATTTATGTCTTGATATAAGGCCATTCTGGAAGGGATGCATTAGTCTTCATTTCAAACATAACAGTTCCAAGTAAATCAGAGCAACCTCTTTCAAAGACATTTCTTCCCTGCTTAAGACTCATAGCATAATACTTGGGAATATTTATTGGCTAATGACTTTGTATGGGAAACTTCACATATGTGATGTGGTTTAGTCTTTAACCTTCTTAGGACAGATATTTTTAATATTCAGAGGATTAAACAAGTTTAAGGGGATGAAATAGCACAAAAAGAGCTTGTTMAATGGGAGTGGAGGAAGAACTTTGAAACAAGGTAGCTGACATTATCGTTCTTGCTCTTCGCTTTCATCTTAGGTATAGACATAGTACTGTGAGTTGGGCAGTTGGGTGATAGCTGTGACCCAGTTACTGGATTCTGGGAGCACAGATTGGGGCACTGTGCAATATGACAACATAATTAACAGTACATCCATCTCAACTTTGGCATGTTTTTGTCCAAACTTCTGAGTTTATGAGAAATACCACTAAGTACTTATAGAGCATTTAGTGTTCCAAGCAATGTGTGTGTGTGTGTGTGTGTGTCTGTGTGTGTGTCTGTGTGTGTGTGTCTGTGTGTGTGTGTCTGTGTGTGTGTCTGTCTGTCTGACTGTCTGACTAGTTTGTATAGAACTTATTCTGTCTATATATCTTCACTTTTTCTTTTTCTGATAAGAAAACCAGAGCACAGGAAATTTAAATAATTTACTTAATGGCCCTCAGCTAGTTAGTGGCACATGCTTAGTGAAGAGAGACCCTGCATGCTAAATTGATCTACCTACTCTCCTGCCAAGACCAGTTCTCCCAATTCAACTTTAGCAGTTTTCACAGATTGCTGCCTTTGCTTGTGACTAAGCTTAAGTGGGAACCTAAGAATGTGATGCCTTTGAAGACCTCTCTCATTTGGCAGCATGTGAAAGGCAACAGGGCCTTTGGAGTGAATTTGCCTGGCTTTGAATCCTGCCTTTGTGCTTCTGGCTGGATGGCTTGGGTATATTATTAGATCTTAACTTTTCATTTATAAAAAATAAATTTATTAACTCTGCTTTGCTTAAAAAAATGCTTTTGAAATATTTGGACAAATTCTTGGTTTCTTTGTTCCTTAGGTTTTTATGTGGAACATATAAATATATCCTTAATGAATCCTGATGAGCATCCAGTGAATTAATTTTTGTTAAATGMTTAACATATTTTTGGCACATGAAAAGTTCTATTTTTTTTGTATTTTATATAAAATAAATACTAAGGGCTGGGAAATATCCTATCAGTTAGTCTGACCTTTTCCTACTCTTAGAGCCTTATGGTATAGCACCTGATTAACTGAGTTTTCTCTTTCTTTACATTCATATGTCATTTAAATTTAATGTCCTGCCATTCCATGAATGAGTCTATTAACCACAAATGTCCCTCAAATCTGTATTTCTCAACTGGGAGTATCCCATTAGAGACAAATTCGTGTTTGCCTTCTTTTACTGTTATTGGGGAGACTAGTTTGTATAGAACTTATTCTGTATTTTAATGTCTCCATGCCTGGGTTTCAGGAGATGATCTGTGATTCCTTTGTTCTCTATTATGGTCTATATAAACTTCTTTCTGGATATGCATCCTCATTTTGGTGAAGCATTAAAGAATGTATGGAAGAGAATTTCATTGCTTTTGTGCATGTGTGAAAGTATCCATAATTGACCCTTCTGTGGGGTAAATAGTTTCAGTAGGCATGGAATTCTGGTTGGAAAGTAATTTTCCTTTAGAGTTTTAAAGTTATTACTCTATTTTTTGTTGTTATTCTAGAAAATGTTCATTTCAATTTATGAGTCCCTTTCCCCCAGGGTTAAAGGATCATTTCTTTTTTAGTAAGGTCTGAAATTTCTGAATGTTTTATTTTAGTACAGATCTGTACATTTGATTTTCTTTTCATTTATTATAATACTATTGCATCCCAAAAAGAAGATTCCCAATTTTAATGCCCCAAACAGAAATTCTATGATCTACTGAAAAGTTTATTTATAAACCACATATTAATTATTTCAAATATTTTAAAACAAAGTTTAAAAGACTAAAAACTATTGGTTTTAAAGTAGAATATTTTTCTTCACTTTTTTTCACTTTCTTCAATCTGTAGGAATTTGTCGATACTGCTACTATACAAGTATTTTCATTTAAGAAGGCATTTCAAAGAAAATCAGAAGAAATATATAAATAACTTGTACCTTGAGGAATTATGTGACAATTACAACTGTCTTGAACTCTGATTAACACTTGTCATCTTCATTTTCAGGTTCCCTAAGGACAATGGCAGGTAAAATACTTTTGGCACTTTCTGTGTTGTCCTTCTAATCAGGAGGTAGTTTAGAAAACATGTCAGCCCTAGGTCCAGGGGAGCATGACTCAATTCTTTAGTCATTTCCAGTTTCACTGCCGTCTCCTTATAGATCAGGGGCTGGCAAGCTTTTTCTGATAGAATTGTTGGTAAACTCTTGGTAAATATATAAGACTTCACAGGCCATATAGTCTCTGAGGTAGAAGTAGACATAGGCAATATAATGTAAACTAAAGAGCCTTGTTGTGTTCCAGTGAAACTTTATATATGCTAACATCTAAACTTCATGTAATTTCAAATTTCACAAAATATTCTTTTAAAAAATTATTTTCAACCATTTAAGATGTAAGATCCATTTTTTTATGAGCAGTAGACTGAATTCCACTCACAGACTATGTAGTTCATAAACTCCTTGTATAGACTGCTGACTGCCAAATACTTTAAATATTGAGTTATGCTTAATTCAAATAGGAATAATAACTTGCATTCATGAAAATGTCACTCAATAATATAGTCAAGGGTACTTTAAGTCATAAATGAAGGTGAGAAACTGATACCTATAATAGTTCATTTGTAAAAACATCTGATCTCAGAGTTTTTTAGAAGCATAATATAAAAGCACAATTAATACACCTTTTGAAGATTTTTTGTCATTGTATTCCAATGACATTTTTTATCTTTGTATTCCAAATTTATTTTTTCTTGGAAGCCTAATAATTTGGGAAACTGCATAAAAAAATGAGTGACTCTTGGTTTCTATTCTCTAGGAATGTACCATCTAATGAAAAGGGCTTTCAGACTTATGTCAAAGTGCTAGTTCTTTTTTTTTTTTTTAATTTTATCATCTCAGTATCCCCATGAGTTAGTAAAAATGAGAGTGAATATTTTCTCTTTGGAGCGGAGGAAATCTTACTTCAGTAAGGCAAATTGACTTAAGGCAAATTGTTGCCCTAAGTTATATGACTAGGAGATATCAGATATTTTGACCAAGTTAATCAGAATTTGTTTTTTCAGTGTATGCAAACTGCTCTGTGTATATGTATTATAGGTATATCTGCTGAGGTCTGCACTCAGCCAAAAGGCCATATTGTTTAATTGCTGTCCTCATGGGGTGATTAGAATGTTAAAACAAACCTAGATCTTGATGCTAACCATATGATAAAAAGAATGGTATCCATTTGTTGAGTGCCAGTAGCCCTGTATAGGGGCACAGACAACAATTCGATATGAAGCCATTAGATTTTATGATAGAATTCTTGGAACTTTTTGGTTTACTTTAAATCTAAGTTGTATATGAATGACTGTGTGGTACAACAATGTTCTTTATAGGACACATACCCTTTCCTCTCTCTCCTCTAAGCATTTGTACTTGCTCATTATGTTGTTAGCAGGATCCATTTGAAGTAAATCAATAATGTAAATWTGGTAAAGACACTATAACTTCAGCTTCCGGCTTTGAAAGTTTATGCCTTCTTCTTAGAAGAACCAGGAATGTCTGAGTTTCTCTGAAATATCCTTATTTTGGTCAATCTTGATGAAATGTGATACCACTATTTTTACTTTAAAAAATAGGACAGACAGCAGAATACATCAGACACTAGAAAGGCAATATGTCAATCAATGGAAGTGCAATCTGTATACGGGGTAAAATTGGGAGTTCATAACCCACTTGAATCAAACTGTGAAATATGATGTATTAAGAACTATGTAATGTTTTGAACGACCAACAATAAAAAAAAAWWAAAAWWAAAAAAWWAAAAAATCTGCAATCAGGGCATTGAGATGAGAGAACAAGAAAGGGTGAACCTCTCCACATGACTGAGGTCTCTGGAAGTAGCTGTCAGACACAAATTCTTTTCTATTTATAACTGTTTCAGACCAGTTCAGAAGATGAAACACACTGGTATGGTGTTTGTTGGTTAACTTGGAGTTACTGAGGGCAGAGAGCCAGCACAATTTTCTTCAGTCAGATAGTGGTTTACCTACCAGTATGTATTCCATGTATGGACTTCCTTGTCCTCTTGGCTTTCTTTTAATCTGTCCTTCATCCTGAGACATCTTTGTACCCTATCACTGGGTCAGAACTCAGCCTGTTCTAGGTCATAGTGAAGTTCTTGGCCTTAGCTAAGAATACATTTTGGTACTTCAAATATTTCTTTGAGTTCTCTTTCCAGGACAAAAACATGGTAATAAATTACAGTACCTCTCTGAGTTATATTATCTTTTTTTTTCCTGGCACTGGGGATTTAATCCAGGGTCATTTTGCCACTGAGCTACAACCCCAGCAATTTTTATTTTTTTATTTTGAGTCACTGGGATTACAGGCATGTGTTAACACATCTGGCTTCATTTTATCTTCTTTAATAAATTTATAATTAATAGACAAGTTTGATTATAATAGAAGTATATTTTGAGATGTCCAATAGAAACAGTGGATGGCAAATAATATTTTGCCAGCAAATAATAAGGCTAGTAATGTAACCTAGATTGCCCGATTTGCATAGATTTCTGCATTTGGGGGAATTTCTTTTGATCTCTTCCTTGTAATATTTAAAATCCACATAAGGCACATGGCAAGCCTCTATAAAATGCTTGGCTCTCCTTGCCTGATGCCCTACATAACTCAGTAACCAATTCAAGTACTAATTRGCATAGCTTTTCCTCCCTTCATCTCTGTTCTCTCTTCCTCCACCCCTCCTTTTCTTTCTTCTTTCTTTCTCCCTTTATTTTTTCCTTCTTTTTTCCCCTTTTCTTCCACCACTTCATTCTGTTGTTGAGATATGTTAACACGACAAATAAATGAAATAGGTCATGCACGCATCCCAAGGAGATGCCCAACTTTTTGGATATGGTGGTATGGTCTGTCCTATTGAGCTTGGCAAGAGGATGTACATCCTCACAGAGTTGGGCTATGGCCCTAAAACGATGTCTCTAAAATGACTACCAATAAGATACACACATCTGAAGGTAATATCTATGCTCTGTATGGTGAAAATTATTCTTTTTATATGTAGAGAGTGAAAATGCTTCAGATTAATTACATAATACCATTTAAGTGGTACAAATTCTGTTCAATTATCTACCTGTCTTAGCAAATAAAACTTACAATTGTTTTCTTTTCAAAAGTATTTATTGAATTACTCTGAGCCAGGCATAAGTTCTAGATGTTCGGGACACAGAGATGAATAACTATTGTGCCTATACAGTTGATGGGAAAGATAGAACAGGATCATAGACTAGTATCTTCAGTGGTAGAAAGAGGAGGTAGACAAGACAGTGGAATGAGATGACATCATTACCCTGAGTACATGTATGAAGACAAGAATGGTGTGAATATACTTGGTATGCAACCAGAGATATGAAAAATTGTTCTCTATATGTGTAATATGAATTGTAATGTGTTTTGCTGTCATATATAATAAAGTAGGATAAAAAATAAATTAATTCAAAAAGAAAGAGGTTTCCCAGGGAGGTGACATCTGAACTATGGCAAATAAAGAAATACCCAGATGAAGAAGGTGTGTGTATGTTTGTCTATGTGTATGTGAAAGATATATGAGATGAGAGGTAATAATAGGTATTGCAGAGAGAAGGAAACAGGACATGCAAAGATCCAGAGACAGAGCAATGTGTGGTACCTGTGGTCAGCCAGTTCATCAGAATGACTGAAGGCTTATAAAGAGCAATGGGAAGTATGGTGTGGTAAGTTCTGACCAGTAGATGTCTCTCTTACTATTTGATTCCACCTTGGAACAATCCCTTGGTTATTTTAGCATATTTTACTGTATTTCTTTCCTTATAAAGAAAGATTAGAAATTACTCATGGCTCGACATATTTTAATGTGCAAAATTAAAAGGATTTAATTGTTAAAAGGATTAAGGGACGTTCTAGATGTACAACAAATTTTTTTGTTTTAAGCACTTAGAGTATCAGTGTCAAGAGGAATCAGCTACCATTTTTAAAACCCCTATACCACCTCTGTAGAAGAGGCAGCTTTTCAGGTCTGGAAGGAAAACAGATTTGAAGAAACTCAGTGGTTCTCCTCCCTGATTAAAACAAACTAACTTTAAAAAAAGCCTTTATATGCTAACAGGGACAAATGCATCAAAGAGGTTTGATTGTTGGTATAGCAGGTGAGGTGTCACCTTCATGGCAGCTCCTGTAATCCAGAGTGTCATTGGCACCAGGCAGGTCTGGGCAAGTCCAAAATCAGCCAGTAATCTCAGGAAGGTCTCTTAAGACCAAGCATGTTTCCCAAGCCACAAAAGACAGAGAATTCTTTAGGATGTCCATTGACTTATCTAGAAGGAGGCATGCATTTGCCAACTGTCCAGTTATAGCATTGACTGGCTCAGGCATTCTCTCTCAACAGGAAAATTTATAGGGATTTACAATTGAAAGTTCACTTTGCTAATTTGAAATCAGGAAGAGGAAATTAGACGATCTTAAAGACCAGTCTCCTCAAGCTGTGAGAGTTTGTTGTATCTGTCTACAATCTAGAGTTGTACCTTATAAGGAAGCTTCAGTACTCTGGTCAGAAATTTTTTTTTTTTTATTGATTGTTCCAAACATCACAGAGCTCTTGATAAATCATCTTTCATACATTTGACTCCATTGGGTTTTGAACTCCCATTTCTACCCCAAATACAGATAGCAGAATCACATCTGTTACATACTCACATTTTTACATAATGGCATATTAGTGACTGTTGTATTCTGCTACCTTTCCTATCCCCTACTATCCCCCCTCCCCTCCCCTCCCACCTTCCCTCTCTGCCTCCTCTGCTG